TGGTTCATCAACTTGCTCGACATCTCCACCGTCTGGTCCAAGACCGACACCGAGGGCGAGACCTGGACCGGTGTCGACCGCAAGACCAAGGCCGAGAAGTGGACCGCCACCCGCGCCGATCTCGTGTTCGGATCCCACGCCGAGCTCCGTGCCATCTCTGAGGTCTACGCCAGCTCTGACGCCAACGAGAAGTTCGTCAAGGACTTCGTCGCTGCTTGGGACAAGGTCATGAACCTTGACCGCTTCGACTTGAAGAAGTACTAAAGTGCTATCCGCACTAACCCAACTGTTTCTATGTTAAGGATTTAAGGTGTTGGCGGTTATTCTTGTATCTACTTTATACCTCATATATTCTTTCGCCTGTACTCTGTCCCCCCTACAGCTCATAATCGCCATGACTCATACTTCAGTTTGGTCGGTCGGCATAAGAAGTCAAGTACCTGCCCTTGAAATCATTTCCAATGCCGAGACACGCAACAGTACTCTGGAAGACTATTCAATTTCTGGAATGTCTGGAGAAATTTCTATGAACTTGTATTGGGCTGACCTGACTTTTTCGACTTCGGCTTGATGAATATCGCAGCTAGAAGCATGCAACCAGAAACGCCAGTAAAGAATGCCCACATCACACGCAAAGCAGACATGTAGATAGCCTTGCTAGCCCCTGAAGTTCCATCGTTCCCATTCTCAGAACCAAGCTTCCCTGCCGTCAGCTCTCCACCACCGAGGTTATGCTGCAACAACACTGTCCCGATGACAATGGACATCGAAGAAAAGAGAGACCTCACAAAACTGAAGGCCGACATAGCAGCCGCCATATCCTTTTGCTCCGTGTGAGTCTGAATTGAGATCATGGGACTTTGGAAGAGCACACCGGCACCGAACCCAGTGATCATTTGAAATGCCACAATCTTGGCCCATTCCGTGCTGATGCCAAAGCTGATGAACAGGCCATTCCCAAGAGTCATGAGCGCCGAACCAAAGAAGATGGGAATAATGTAGTTACCAGTCTTCCGGGTGAACAGCCCCCCGAGCATTGTCATGACCGTGAGCGGAATGAGTAGAGGAAACAGCGTAATTCCAGCGATGATCGGTTTGAAACCAAGGACAACTTGGAAGTACAGCGGGAGGAAATAGTCGTATGCAATGAATACGAAGCTGTGGATGCAAGCAAGGGTGAAAGAGGCAATATTGGTGACCTTTTGGAAGATTCGGAATGGAATAACGGGGTTCTTCGCGAAGCGAGCCTCCCATACAATGAAGAGCGCGAGAATGAGGACCCCAAACAGGATGAGGCAGATGACCAAAGCAGAGTTCCAGGGTACGATGCCACCAGCACCTGTTTCGAGGCCGTAGAGGAAGCAGATTGTGCCACCTATGATGAGAAGGAACCCAATCCAATCGAGGTCCCGAAGACCGGCAATGAATGACTCTTTGGGGGTTTCAACCTTGAGGGTGAAGAATAACACCACCAGGGCAACGCCGTCGAACGGCAAGTTGATGAAGACTATCAAATGTCAGTTCCATGCCACTCCGTATTGTATTTGGGGGTTCCTTCTCACAACACCATCTCCATCCAATCGTCTGTGTAAAGACACCTCCAAGTACCGGGCCGACCGCACTCGCAATCCCATAGACGATGCCAGTCATGCCATAGTACTTGGCCCGATCCTCCAACTTGAAAATATCGCCAATCACAATCGTGACTAGGACCAACGATCCACCTCCCCCGAGCCCCTGTACAGTCCTCCCAGCGATGAGAGCTTGAATGTTCCCAGCCAAGGCCGCGATCAGGCTTCCCGTCATGAACGTTGCTGCCGCAGTCATAATTGTGAGCTTCCGGCCGAATATGTCGGACATCTTAGCCCAGACCGGTGTGAATGCCGTGCTGGACAAGGTGTACGCGCTTCCCACCCACGCGTACTCCGATGCCGTGGCCTGAAGAGTTGCTGCGATGGTGGGTAAGGCCGTGGCGATGATGGTGATGTCCAGGGCGCTAAGCAGAAGAGTCAGGCAGAGGGCACACATGACGGCGCGGCGACGGATTGGGCTCATTTCAGGAGGAACATAAGATGAGGCTGTGATCACGCGATCCAGAGCACTCTGGGTGTTTCCATACTGCTCTGAGTTCGTCTCTTGGGGCTTTTCGGCCGATGTTGCTGTAGGTGAATTTCCCATGATAATCCTGCTAAAGCGACTGACGCCCTGGTGGTCCTTTGTTCCAGGAATCGAATAGAATGAAACGATGCAGACTGTCCATGGAACACACGATGACACTACTGTTGGTATAGTCATTGGCAAGCAGTTCCTTCGAGGATTCTTTTTGTTCCTTTCGATCACCATGTGGCTCGGTTCGGTTCGGTTCGGGGATCTGGGGTAATGCAGGTCGACGGGGCCAGACTAAACGATCACTTGCAGCCAATTGGCCGATCTTTGCATATCAAGTCTCTTGAATTCGCTTTTGATTCATTACTCAGGTTCATTGCATGTCTTTGAGCCCCAGACTGAAATGCAACAAGACTTTCCTCCACCCACCCAACCAAGTCGAATATGCTTAGATATATCGCTCGGCCGGAACAGTCGCCGGGTCTGGTGTTTCCTACCACTCGATGATCTAGTATGCCACATCGGTATACCCATCAGTCAATGGTTTCCACATGCCCCTTGAGTTCCTTTTGGATCCAACCGTAAATGCTCTCCTGAAGTTCGCGGTCCTGGCTGAGCTTCGAACCAGATTCCGCCTTAGCAGTAGGACCGTAGTATTGCCCGCTCTTGGCGTCAGGGCTCACAGCTGCCCAGATCTGCGATAAGGCACCCTTCTCCACAGGCGTGGCGAAGAAGATGGCTGCATACAGGAAAGGTTTGAGAAACATGCCGGTGGAAGCATGGTGAAGATTTGTCGCAACCATCCCCGGATGGACAGGAACGATCTTGACTTGTTTCTCTCGCTTTGACAAGGCCTTGGCGTAATGGAGGTCAGCAAGCTTCGACATGGTGTATCGTTGGGTAGTAGCTCGGTTAGGCATTGTTGTTCGGATCTCTTCGAACTTGTAGATATCGTTCGGGGCTAGGGCGTGAGCACTTGAAGACAGCATAACGACACGCGACTCGGGGTTCGTCTTGACCGTTTCGCGTATGACCGGTAGCAGAAGCTGGGTAAACAGCGCTGGACCCATCACGTTGGTTCCGAACTGGATCTCATACCCTTCCTTGGTAAGGCCCTCGGGGGTCATCATGATGCCAGCGTTGTTGACGAGTATGTCCAATCTAGATTCTTTCTTGAGGAATTCGACCGCGGCAGCCTTGACGCTATTAAAAGATGCTAGATCAAGTTCGAGGAAGATGATGTTTGTTGTTTTGGGGTTCTGTTGTTGGAGTTCTTGGATAGCCTTTTCGGCTTTGTCTCGGGACCTGGCTGCAAGATAAATTCGGGCTGGGTTGTGTTTGCTGAGCTGCCGTATCGTCTCGAAGCCAAGACCGACGTTTCCTCCAGTAACAATAATCACCTGATCGCGAAGATCAGGGATGTTATCGGCGGTGAAGGATGGCATCTTGGGGCGGAGCGTGCAAATGGCTCGACTATGGGGTTTGAACCGTGGCAGGTAGAGAGACTTCCTGATATTAGCAAACGTCAAGATGTTGACAAAAGGGGAAGAGGCGATTTAATACATTGGTCAGAAGTGAGCCTGAATGTGAAGAATGGAGGTCTGATGGGCGGCTGAAGGTGCCACGCGGGAACTTCGACGAGCCCGAAGGTACAATGCTTGATAAGCCAGTCAGTCCAACGAGCCGATCTGGGGCGTAAGCAAGCCATTGAAAGAGGAAGATTCGAGACCAAGGAGGACAAGAGAACGGAGCTGGCTGGGATTTTCTTCGGAAACTTCCAGTCTCGGCTCTCGATTGTCAGCCATAAATTCTATCAGAGGCTCCGGCATTCTCAATGAGCCAACTCGCGACTTCCTCGTTGCTTACACCCTTGTCGGGCAGGTCCGGCCTGGACTCTGAATTTGGTAACGCTCCTTCCCTTCAATGGGAGAAAGTACCTAGATACCTCGCTGTAAGGTACGTAGATTCATCCCTAGATACCTGTGCCGGGCCGTCATGGAAGGACGGGAGCTACGTAGCCGGGAGCTCGGCGTTTGTGTGGGCCGGGACAACGTCCCCGTATCACTCCTTAGACCTCGGTGACGTCCCGACGGTTCCCTGGGCATCTCGCAGCGGATGCTGTCGGCTCGAAACCCACGGAGTCATCCTCGGGGTGTCAATCCTGAGGCTTAGACAAGCATCTACGGACAGCAATTTCTTATCCAGAACGACTCGATCTTCATGGTGATTCGACTCCTATCATTACGCGGTGCATAGATACCCCGTTCTGTAGTGGAGCGCGCTGTGTGGTTGTCTCTAACAATCATGCGAGCCTTGCTTGATGTTTGGACATCAACTGACGACAGACTCGCTACTTCGGGGTTGCGTCAGACGCGTAGAGTTACCTATGGCTGGCGGGGTTTCTGTCGAGGAAATCACCACAGATTATTGTACGAGGTCGCCAGTTCGTAGTGCCCGGCGATCGACAGTATTGTCAAATATGGCGGCGAACCCCCGTTCCGTTGCATCCAGCTCGTGGTGGATGACTCGTGAGTTCTTTGGCTTTAAACAGAACATACGCAGTAAAGGCTCAAAGGAGTCTTCCGGTTCGTCATCGACCGAACAGACCAACCTCGAACCAGCCTAGAACAAGTCTGAAGATTCCTTTTTTGCCCCCAACACTCAAGATGGGCGAATGGCAAGCTGCCCATGCAAGCCCCATCGACAGGGGAGTAAGCAATCTATTTCTGCGACACAGCACGTCCCACTGGACCTTTGAGCGTAGTAGGTTCATCCCAGCCAACAAGGGAGTAAGCAACCTATTAATCCCCCATAGGAACACAATTCTGAAAGAACATCGCCCACAGCATGCTCGATAATCAACGCGGAAAGATATCGAAAACATCATTCTCGAGATGGAGCCGAAGCAAGTAGAGGCACTAGACGATGAAGACGATTGGACGGGCGTTGCGAGCGCCGCCGAAAGACGAAGACGGCAGAACAGGGTTCACCAAAGAGCCTACCGTAGGTCCATTCCACAACCCCGCTGTCAAACATCCTATCCCGTTGGCGAAGAAGGCTGATATTGCAATCCAACCAGGGCAGAAGAGACACCTGAAGCGTATTGCACTCAACGGTACTACAGCTTCGGCTTCAGCAGAGCCTCAAGCCGAGATGTGCCTGATCCCCGCTGCTGCGCCTAATGCGCGTACACCCATGACTTCGTCTCAAATGCAAGAGATGCTTGGGATTTACTATTTGCTCAGATGCGCCGGCATACGCAACAATGTCGCCGAATTCCTGCAGAGAGCCTCTTCGAACTGGACCCTACAGCTCCCTATCCCGCGGGACCTTCCCGCTCTCACAAGACTCAACGCGTTCGACGCGCTAGCAAGAAATGCGCTGGTGTTAGGCATCCCGGTAGAATTGATCGAGAGCGACGATGGCGACTCTCTCTTTATACATCAAGGCCCCGAGCGGCCCGGGTCCAGCGACGTCCTGCCGCCTCATCTCTCACCAACGGCACTACAGAGGACTGTCAAGCATCATCCATGGCTGGACCTATTCCCAATACCGAAGATGAGGGATAACATTCTTCGTGGTATTCAGTCAGGCGCGATAGACGAAGATGAGCTGTGCAACGCTTTAGTCTGCGACCTCTTGGACTTGGACTCCCCCTCCAAATCATCGCCTGTCATATGGGGAGACACCTGGGACTTGAATGGTTGGGAGCTGGGTCCTGAATTCTTCAGGAGATGGGGCGGGCTAGTGCAGGGCTGCCCCGAAGTGTTGATAGCTACCAACTACTGGCGACAAAAAAGAGGTGTAGGGAAAATAAGAGAGATCAACTCGGGCGGCTCGCTGGCATTAGATATCACATAGTGACTGAAAGTTGTGTTTTCGGCTATTTCAGTTGCAACTCCCAAGTCTCTCCCACTCGCTTCTCTCCCCAGGCTTGATGTTCTTCGGTGGCTTTCAACTCGAACCCGGACTTTGCATACAATCGCCGCGCCCCGATCAAGTGGTTATCAGTTGATAAACCAACGCTCTCGAATCCAACCTCCCTTGCAAACTCAACACAAAGTCGTATCAACTCCGTTCCCAAGCCGGACCCTCTTGCTTCCTTTTCTACAAGGAAGCATCTCAACTTCGCTCTGCCTGGTATTTCGCGGTCCTCGATGAGCATGATGGAGCCCAAAAACTTGTCGTCTCTCTCTGCGATCCAGCATCGTTCTTTGGCTGGGTTGAACTTGAGGAGGAAGTCAGCCGTGATTTGGCTGACCATGGCCTCGAATAGCGCGCCGTAGTTGTATTCTTGGGAGTAGATTGCGCCGTGTCGGTGGGTGATGTAGCCCATGTCACCCGGGCGGTGGTTCCGGAATGTGATGGAATTGAGAGCATTGGAGCCGTTGGTTGACGCCATCTTAGCGAATCGACGATGTGCTGCAGACTGGACGAGTACTTGTCCCTTGAGTTCTCAAAGACAATGCAGCGACTGGGAGACTGCAATAGCTAATGATCTGATTGCAAAACTCTGAACCGTCGCCAATTGGATTATCTTATCACTTGTGGGAGGGGGCCTCTCTTGATCAGCGGTGAGCTTGTTCCTGGCCTCGGGCCTCTGGTGGGGAATGTCAAAGTCATGTCATCCAAGGGCGCACTGTACTTAAGCGCCACGCTGCATGTCATGTTTAGTGTCACTGGCAGACACCAGTGACCTCAGAGAGTCAGCTTGGAGGCTTCTAGAGGCTTCTGAATTGGCCCGCGCTCAGCAAAGATACCACTGGCTCATAAGATTTCAGTAGTGTCAAGCTATCATCAGAACTTGGGAATCGTAATGCAATCCTCTGACAGGAGAACCTAGAACTCGAAGCTCAGATACAGTCGCTTGACCGTATATCGAAAAGATTCTGAGAAGGGCATGACCCAGAGCAGTGTGACTAGTCAAGTTTGGTTCTTCGCAGCAAATGACTTACATTCAAGAAACGGGTGAAAGTTCTATACTGCAGCTTTTGTCACTCTCAAATTTAAGAAACCATACCGGGGTTGCTGTACAAGGATGGCCCGACAAGCCCGACTACTACAATGTCATCTCTAGATAGATTGGACTTCAGCGACATGTACCGGCGAAGCACTTGATGGCTGGCGTAACACGCCGTACAACTCCTCCGAACTGCTAACTCCCCTTCGCAAGACATCTCAGAACCTCATTCAACTTCGCCAAGCTCACCTGCACGTATGGCATGTTGAAGTTCATGATAGCCAGACTATGTTCTGGATTTAGATAAAGTCAGACTGCCAGCTCCCACGGCGATGCACCCAAATTGTCACCAAGCATTTCCCACCCCTCCAGTCCAACCATATCATGACACTGAAGGACACCAATAAACCAAATATGATGCACCCAAGAGCCGTAGATCCTTGGGATAACCAACAGACAAAATGCAGCCACCCTTCCTCATCAAACTTTGGTATGTCCATGACTCCACACGCCCAAATCTGTGCCGCAAAGCGGTTTTTGTCGTATAATATCCCATCTGGAAACGGCAGAGAATTTGCGTAATCGAGGTCGAAGTGCGAGGATTGTCCAAGACCGGCGAGCATCAATACCATGGACATCAATGCGAGGATGACGCTGATGATTAGCATGAGAAACAGGCTGAATCGCGCCTACTGCACCACTACTGCACCATCGCAGCAGGTGTTGTCGGCGGTAGCTGCGACCATGATCCCCCTGTTCCACACTCCTGGTTCCCAGATAAGCCTGAACAGAGAACTTCACGACTCGAGTCGAAGCTAGAATTTGCTGTCACTTGATCCTACGAAGCTGAAACCTCTCGGAGATCCACCGCCCCATAGACATCACCGGTGTTGGTCTCAGTGCCGTGTTTTCACGACGCCATCGGAAACAGGCCCCCTCGCGAGCCGATTCGGCCAGCACAGATTCGCCGGGTTCCCGTATGGACACGTTCTCGTTGACTCAATGGACGAACAAGTATACGAGCGTTACCGAGCAGTCTACAAAAAGAGATCAGTGGACGCGTTCAAAAACATATGTTCTTTTTTTGAGCATGAAGAGCATGGATATCATATGCTGAATGGTGTGATTCGGCCCCATTACGAATGGGGAAACCTGGATCTCGTCAAGCACCTACTTGAATCCAGCGGTGGACTGTCATCAACTAGATTCAACTTTTATGGCATCAATTCTTCGGGGGACAATTGTCTCACCGGGGCTGCCTGTAGATGGTGGGAGGGCGTCCTTGACTATTTGCTCGAGTCCGGCATGGACCCCAAAGGGGTCATGGGCGACATTCCCCCCCTTGCCGCGGCAATACGTGCTGGAAGTATTTTTATGGTACGGAAGCTTGTCAACCATGGCGCGAGTCCTCATTCTTGGCACGGAATGTTTCAGTATGGCATATGTCTTAAACATACAGCAATACTTGAGTTCCTCCTAGATAGAGATGTATTATGCAGCGACGGTAGAAAAAGTGGAACGCGAAGGACGAGATGAATACATGTGCTACATAGTGGAGGTGTTCTTGTTGACATCTACGTCCAACCATTGTCAGATCAATCTATCATATTTTCCTTAGTTCGCAGCAAAAATGAACAACCAACCAGGCCTTGTTTCCAGCGGGCCATGGATGCTTGACACTGCAATCAACGCACAGGTCAAAGCTTGCATATAAAGGCCAGTATCATTGTTCCTCTTTGACTCCAAGCCAGCAAGACCTCTTCAACATTTTGCTGGTCTTTGTATTGGTAGCAATCCTTCGTGCAGAAGCAGGTGCCTTTGGTGCTGAAAGATCCGGAGGGCGATGACAAGTTGGGCATTGACATCAATGATGCTTTTCTGCTGTGGTAAAGAAAAGCTCGACAGTCTCCTGTTCTGCCATGTGAAGATTAGGGAGCTCAAGGCATGGAATTAGAAGGCTGTCACAGATTCGAAAATGAACATCCAGAGTGCGTTTAATGATTATCACACAAGCCGTCAGGTGAAATCACGTGTCTCAGGAGTATATCTTCCGGGTATGGCCTCACCGAGCTGCCCTGGGCGCCTGAGGCGCAGCCCTCTCGGTGAGGTCTTCAGATCACCAAATCACGTGTTGAAGAGGCATCAACATACACGCTCCTTCCTCTCTTCTAGATGAGAAGAATTTTAAGCGAGGCGCTAGTGAGATTGTGTGCCTCACTGCTTCTTCGTTAGCCGCCCACACGACTTCTCCTCCTGTCAGCATCACGATCTCGACTTTCCCTTTCACCAACCTTCTCCCCCACAACAACCTCATCCAAACAAATCCACCCTGAGCGCACGTCGCCGCTAGATTCCCATTTTCGCGCCAGTCACGGCGTGGAGTTGATGCCTTCTCCCTCACCTTCACTTGTTTTCCCCCTACAGGCTACATCTTACCCCTGATCGTACACCTCGATACAGCGGCCAAGATGGCGGCGCACAGCCAGCTGTCTCTTCGATCCTGTGCTTCTCTAGTCTTCTGGACTGCACTGGCTCTTGTTCACGTTCCTCTTGCTTTGTGTGGTTCTGTCCACATTCACAATGCTTCGCCACGAGCTGCCTTTGTCTCGCTGGTCTCGGAGCAGCAAAAGGAGCAGATGGTAGCCTCTGTTGCTCAGCTCGAGCAGCGATTCAACCACAAGTACCGCTACGACTGGGTATTCTTCAGCCATGAGGAGCTTAGCGAAGAGTTCAAGGACGCTACCTCCAACGCTACTGCCTCGACTGTCACCTATAACCTGATCCCCCAGCAGCATTGGACTATCCCGAGCTCTGTTGACCCCGGTCGCTTCGAGGCTGGTCTGGTGCGCACTTAGGGAGTGAACGCCGACAAGGCCCTCATCAAGACTGCCCATCACAGACGTCGCTGGTCTGCTGGACTCTTTGCCCGAGAGAAGCGTCTTCAGGCCTACGATTGGTTTTGGATGGTCGAACCTGGCGTAAGTAGGCCTCGTTCTTTCTTCCCTTCCCTCCTTTGCTTTGTCTTGGCTAACAAGGCTCTTGTTCTAGACCAAGTTCCTCTGTGATATTACAGTCGATGTCTTCCGTCTCATGCGAGACCGCGGAATTGCATATGGAGTCAATGAGGTTTCTTTTGAGGGTGCCGCTGACTCTGAGCTCCTCTGGAAGAGTACCAAGTCCTTCATGGATACGCATCCCGACATGGTTCGACCCACTGCCGATATCACCTGGATCCTAGGCAACAGTGCCAAAGCCAACAAGCCTACTCGTTCATCAGACTACTACGTGGATGAGGCTGACGATGTGGAGAGCTTCGACCTGGGCTTGGAGGACGAGGGCTGCAGGGCCATCGGACAGGGAACTGAGGGTGACATGACCCCCGGTGTTTTCCTTAAAGCTGATCCTCAGCAGTGCGAGCCAAACACTGTTGCCGATGCCTTTACCACTCGGCTTGCTGCGAGCTACGACCAGTGTGACATGGACACCCCTATTGAGATTGGCAACCTCAACCACTTCCGCGGACCTGAGCACCGCTCCTACTTTGACTATCTCGACAATGCCGGCGAGTTTTACTACGGAAACACCAGCAACGTTCCTGTCCACTCTCTGAGTGCCAGCATGTTCCTCCCACGCGACAAGTTCTGGCTCCTCGGTGACATGGTTTGCGAGATGCATGGCCTCCACAGCTGCCCCCCGATGCCTCACCCGACCTACAACTCCAACCTGCAGACCAAGAATAGTCCCAACTACCTGGCCAATGTAGTAGAAGCTTCTTGGTTTGGCGCCTATAAGGACAACCAAGTCTTGCTCATCCACCTCGTCTGGGAGAGAATGGCGTCCGATATGGCCCGCCAGAGAGGTATCCCAGCAGCCCAGCTCGGACACACTGCCCTCGATGAGCGTAACTTCAAGCTCTACAAGCCCGAGAGATACCCAGTCGATGTCACGCTGACTTGGTACTCGCTGGAGGATAGCTGGCGTTCCTGGTCTTGCGATCGCCTCAAGTGGTTCCTTGGGGTGTTGGGATGGTAATCTTTTGACCTGGAAATCGGAATTAGCCCCTGGGGCTCGGGTGTGTATGGAGAGCCAAAGACGGCGCTTCCAAGCAGCAGGGCAAGGGGGTTCAGACTTGGGATTTCACTTGTTTCGCGGTACAATTTAACCTACACAGCTTCTATCAGCACCAGGTAGCCATCCTCAAAGAATGACTGATGATTCATACCTAACATTTCGCCTGACCTGCCTGGGGTACCCACTTCACCTAGGTTCAGTGAATCGTAGACTAGTCCGATCAATACGACTGTGAACATGGTGCCAGGCAAGACTGTGATTTCACCACACGGGCGTGTTTTAAGAATCATCCATGAATACAGTAAACTCTTTGAGCTAATGAAACTTGTACGTTGAATGCTACGGCAAAGTTAAACACGTTCCCTCGTACCTCAACCTCAGCATCGCATAACGAATCCATTTTGCCAGTAATAATGCCAATCTCCCCCGTACCCTTAGTGGTCGTGGTCGTCATTGCGATAAGGCCAATCCGAGTAGGCTTCATCATCTATGCTATCATCCGCGTCCTCTTCCATCTGTCTCTCTCGCCTCATGGAAGCCATGGCCCTACAAGCGACGCAATTGTCTACTGTCTCAATATAAGATGCCGGCCCTGCAACCGTATACTCGCTGATTTCCATGCTGACTAGTCTGTGGTAATCGTTGAAGTCCGCCGTGATGAGGAGCTGATGATCGCGAGGGCTGGAAAGGCCATGTTCATCGTCGAGTCCATACCATGCATGGCATGCCATGTGGCCTTGACCGTAGGTGCAAAGGAGTGGAACAAACTTCATACGGGGTTCAGCATTGTATTGGCTGGCGAAGTAATCGTTGATTGCTTCTCTTCCTTCAAAGGTTGTTCCTTCGCAGCGTGGAAGATTGATGCTTGTCGTCAGAGTCGCGTCGTCGGTGAACCATTCCCAGCTGCTATGGAGACCTCCGGCGTTGATGTTGTCTATGAGGGGTTGGAGATGAGTATGCAATATTTCTTCGAGCCAATCTACGTTCTCGTCATTGCACCAGAAGTGGATGGCTTCCTGGACGGGGTCAATTTCGGGGGAACCATTCATGGTGAAGACCTGAAGTAATGTTTAGCAATGCAACAATGACCGCAAACTTTCTCTCCCTTGCAGCTTACGAAATCAATGGGGAGCCTCTGCCTGTATTCGGATATATACCAGACAACGGAGAGACTCTGCGAGGTTATGGGATGATGGCAAAGAACCGCGAGCGCAGAGCGTAGATGGACGTCGTGTTGTTTTGGGTGGGGCGACAGAAGATCAGGAGGAATTATGGCAAGTGATGTTGACAGCCCCTTGGAGGCTCCTTCGCGTTCACAGTGAGTAGGATAAGGAAGAGCGAGCTTGCCGGACATGCAGCTGGAGGATGTCGTTGAAGAAGTTGCGATGCCAAAACACCAGGAAGTCGTTCTTGAGAACGCTTGCCTGTCTGTGCAAAGCAGAGACCACTTGCCGTTGAGTGCCTTCTAACGATGATAAGAAATATTTTTTCTTCTTCTATTTTTTGTCAATTCATGCTAATGATATATTCAAAAGGTAAGTTCCTCGAAGTTTCCAATGACATATGATCGAGTTTGCGCCTTCCGAGTCCCGTCATTGCACCTTTGTTTCTTGTGACAGCTGACTGCACAATGCCTCTGCTATTACGCAGTTTCTTCGCTGACGCTTTCCAATTGTAGATCAACTTTTCTGGCTCTTGTTGCCTCGACAAGCTGATTGAATGCACAGTCGAGCGCCACAATCTTTGAGTACCTGAACTCCACTCTCTTGATCATGACATTTTTGCCGAGGCATATCACAAAGGCTGCCCCGAACTTGCCGACGCGGAAGTCCCCTTTCATATTTTCCTCCGCCCTGAGCGACTCTTTAGTCTTGCTCGCCTCCTTGGCCTTGTTCGCCCCCTTAGTCGTGCTTTCCCGTATTAACCCTTCCCAGAAAGAGAAGATTTGGCCCTGTACGACAACTGTAGAGACTGGGATAAATCTGCTGGTTCTGACTTGATATGCAGTTGGACTGTCGCTTCCAAGTGCTTTGATTATGTTGCTCTTTCCATGGACGACGTAGTCTGAATGACTCTTTTTGTCGAGTGAAGGGTCGATCATGGTGCAGTCGTTGGCAAGCCATTCCAGGACACTTTTATCGACCGTCGCCAATCCGAGCATAAAATTTTCAGCTGCCTCTTCTAGCAAGCGGCGAACTTTCAAGTTGTTGTATTTGACCTTAGTGCCGTTCCCTTGCTCCTTGACTTCCTTGATGATGTCAAGGACGGGACGAATGGTTTCGTCAGAAGCAGCCACTACACACGATTTTAGATGGGTATCGCATCACGAAGGTGTATCTTCCTTACTTTTTACAGATACTGGGCGAGCTTTTCTAGTGGTCGATGCAATGAAGCGTGTGATAAGGTTGTGTTCTCGGCGAGTCTTGGTCGATTGAATTCTGAAGATAATGTTTTGGTAGTCTTTTTTGTTGTCACGGAAATTCCCTTGGCCACATTGGAAAGTTCAGATTGGCATTTAAGCATTATTTAAGAACATTTGATGTTGGGCCTTTCTGGTGGAGGATAGAACATGAGATACGATTACTTCCAGATTAGGAAAGCCGGGAGTCACGCCAAATAGGGTCGGTATATTGATGAACAGGACAACAAAGCGAGAACAAGGCCAAAAGCTGTGACGCCCCAGAGCGCAGATCATTTTGGCAGTAAAGTGACGAGTTAGGAGATGTGGCGGCGCAGGTAATCGGTAAAGGATGCAGCCTTCACAAACCTACCACATTATCGTGTCAGCGGGTGTCGGGAAAGATGCCGGGACTGAACAGACGAGAGCTTGGTAGGTCGCACAAAGATTATGCTCCCTTCTTTGTATTATACCAGTCACTGTTCAGGTTTGCGCCCTTCCTATTCACGATTTCAAGATCAGGATCGAGATGATGGACCTTACATCACGAAGGTCGAAATTGAGGCACAGGCACTGTGTGGCGTCACGACCTCGTGTTACCACTTCCCTTCAGGACTGAACAGAAAAATGGCAACTTCGCTTTGAGGGTGTGCTTCTAGGCTTTTTGAGGGACGTTCAGAAGTCTGCTGACCATCAGAATGCCTCTGTCGGCCTCAGGTCTAGACCCCTTACAAGCTCAATCTTCTTCCTTCTGTCATTGTTCACAACCAGGACCCAAATCTATCTTCCTCGTACAACTACATGTGACCCAATTAGCTGTGGCATGGTTAGTTTCCTAATCACGGTGCGAATTTCGGTGATGTGTCCGCGGTCGGAGATGTGTGGTTTCGATGCAGATAGTGGTTCTGTTGAACTCGACAAACAGCCCCATCGCTACTTGCTTTAATACATGCCGGTTTCTGCCTTGTCTGTCTGCGTACGGCATGGCCATACACTCTCAACTCATCACTGATATAGCTTGATTTTTGGAGTATTCTCACTCCATTTTAGGCCCAGATTTGGACAGGGAGCTCCGATAATATGGTGCCCTCGTGAGTTCATGCTAAGGGGGGTCAGCGGTGCGCTCGCGTCTATAGCTCTCGATATCTCCGTACTTCTGCATTAACAAAGGGAAGGAGTGCTTGGGTTGCCCTCACCAGACACTCGAGGTCGTCATGTATGGTTATCTCAGTGACTTTGATTTATTTGGATCTGGGGTATTTATATAGGTGAGATTCTTGATTTCCCGCGACTTCAAGGGATGATTGTACGAGACTCAGAGGCAAATATCGAATGATGCCATGATCCGGAAAAGTGAAGAGCAAATGCATGAGCCGCTTGGCCTTCTGAGGAGGAGGCAACACATCAACATCCATCTGCTGCCTAATACCTGGCTCGCTCTCGTACTTCCTTCGCGATCTATCTAATTGGTCGATACCAGTGTCCCTCGGGACTCACCTACACAAAATCCAAGCATCTCAGCTAGCCGGCAAATCTCGCGACCAGTGTCACTAGCCTGCCATGTGAAACCTGGTCCGAATCTATTTTCAAGGATTGCAACAAGCGCGGATGGCCCAATTTCGGAGTGGCATTTGCTCAGGTTGCGACTCTTAACATGAGACTCAATGTCTCGAATCTACAAGAATCGTGACGAGATCGTCAAACAACACAAGACCGACCTTTCCGACATGGCGTCCAAATACCGAGATTTGGAAGTCGCGCCCATACTCAATCTCTCCGGCCGCGGCCGCGTCACCTACCATGTGCACGAAGTAGCAGATGGAGTTTCTCGAGCAGGCTGGGTCATCATCAGTGAGTAGATTTTCATCCTCGATATCGACAACGCAACCCAAGTCCAAAAAGCGGAGTGTCGATCCATCGTAGGTGAAACACATCTGTTTATCAGCGATAACTTCAAGTTTCTCATGAGGGATGATGCATACACTGAATCCACCATCGAGCAATTCTATATGCCTAGGAAGGTGATGGCAGTCTTAGAGTCGAGGAAAGCATCTCACCTTGGGCGAGTGGCACTATGTTTTGATGCAATAGGATGAGACATTGAAGACTTTGGCGAGTTCAGTGCAAGAGTTTGGTTCACGCGACTGAATCTTGAATCGTCTCTCCACTCCTCCAACAGACCTGACACCAAGCTCGCTGTCAATGTGGAAAAAGGACGGCATTGTGAGTTTACTCTTATCAGTCCAGGTAGTCAGATTGCTGTAAATAACGAATGCCCACATTCTTGCTCGCAATGGCACGAAGATGTCACGAAATCAAAACTAGAAAGAAAGCGTGCTTGGAAGCCTTTGCTGTGATTTACCGATGTGTTAATATGCCTATCTGTTATCCTCAAGGATTTCGTATAAGCTATGAGGCATGGCGCCCTCTCTGTGAAGCCCCTAGACCTTCTCTAAAACCCGAAATTCTCCTTCATGACCACGACGTCCTTCTTAGACTCCTTTGCAGCGTGTCTCAATTCTTTGAGGCCGCCGCCTGTGGTGATGGTCTCTTGATCTGTGTCTCGGAACTCGATACGTCTGATGAGGCACTTCTCGTCCACATCAAAGATGCAGACCATGCGTGCTCGCTCGAACTCCGGTGCAGCCTTGGCTGCAACCTCATTTTCGCAAACTGTCTCAATCCAGAAAGCCTCCAAATAGCAAGTAGCTCTGCCCCTATCGACGACTAGGAGCTTGAAGACAGTGCTTTGATATTCCTCTTGGTCATCCTGATAGTATTGGATGACCGAGTCCGCACCATTGTGGATAGCACCCGGGCTATCTAGACTCCATAAGGTACGAGCTTGGCGTCCTCTCTCAGGTAACCCTTGGCTGCGTCCCAGTCTCCTCTATCGATCGCGTTGTAGAAGCTTCGAATTCTGGTGTCAATGACACTACGCATGGGGCGATCTGACACCTCGCCATTCACCTCGGCGGTGAAATGCTCAAGGTCATCTCGGTCAGTGGACATCATGACGTTCTTGCCGTAAATTTGAAGTTAGCATCTATCTAGGAAGGTGCAGAGAATATTCACGGGTATACCTGAGATTCCTAAGTCAAGAGACTAGCCTGATTTTGAGTGGTTCGGAGGTGGCTTGGCCTGAGGGATAAGCGATGTTGAACGGCAGCGGTAGATGACTGTGTTTGCGCGGTGCCTCCAGCGATTCTCTCATGCCAAAGGAGATAAATAATTAGAGCAATGTTTCTAATACGGTAAGGCGAAGCTGGGCATCAAATGCCCTGAGTTGTGGTTGTGGTGGTTGTGGCGACGTCCACTGGGTGGAGGAGGGAGAAAGGGGAAATGGAGGGAGGGCCGCAAATTGTTCGACCTTTAATGGGTTTTGAGATAGGCGGAGAGCGGTAGAAGAAAGACGGAAGGTACAATTCTATTTCAAAGGGCAAGTACGTATCCAAGGCTTTTACTTTCTTCCCGCGTATTCGCGTGTACGAGGTCGTTCTATCGCAGGCAGCTGGATTCACGATTTTGACCCTAGCAAATGGGTAGGGGGACGTCGCATACTTGAGTCGCTTGCTTTCTCTAAGACTCAGTCACTCTCTACATCAAATTGATTTTGAGAGCTAGGCCTCCCATTCGTACTCAAGGTGAAATCAAAGCCTACCCTCTTTCCTGAGAATGACTGTCCGCATCCTTGCTGATAGCCAGCAGAGCTCATCATGTCCTCGAGCACTAGAATTTAGTCAGCAAGCCTGTAACACTCTTGCGACTGCCAGCATTGTCATAATTTGGACCGACTTGCAACAATTATCGACAAGCTTCGTTCTATTCCCAGCCCTCGGGGCAGCAGCCCGAACCCCAAATAGTCTGCAGTATGATGTGCCTTTTGACCCGTATTCTCCGTGTGTCATTTGAGCCGTGTACTCGAATTTAATTCTTTTTTAGAGGCAATATCATGAGAATAAGAGAGTATGGAAGCACGAGGGCAGTAGTAATAGGGAAAGAGGTCACCGATGGGATGACCGGCATAGCAATGTACCCCACTTGAAGCCCGAAGGTCCTACAAAACTGCCCCCGCGACCGCGACGAGCAACGGAGCGAAGGGACCCCACCCGGAGCGAGCTTACCGAGAGAGGTATAGCAGGGAACCCGGCAGATGGTCTAGGTACCCCACCTCACCGGCCCAAACTTGCATTCCCTTCACAGACGGGGGGTGGGTGGCTCGCAAAGTCTCAGTCCGGGCGGGCATGACGTGAGGTGACGGACATTTGTTCGGAGGCGGGGGTTGAACTTCCCGCTCGATCCCCCTCTTCCGCATGCAGTCTCGAGCTCAACCCTCGTAGAGTTAGGTTTCGTACGGATCCGGGCACCACAGACCAAGGTGGGAGTTTCAAGTATCTTCCAACTACATCCTCTATTCATTCATTCATCTAGGCAGCGGGCTACGATGCCGAATCAGATATCTAAGCAGTGGTATAAGGACGAGTACCTTATCTCCACCGACCGGTCGCTAGTCGACCTCAACGCCGTGAACGATGCCTTTGATTCTGAGCTGCTGTGGTGGACGAAGCGCGTTCCGGAAGTAGCTCTGAAGAGGCTGATAGACAATTCGTTGTGTCTGGGGGTGTACAAACTCCCACAGTCTACCGCCGACATTGCAGGTATGTCGACAAGCCTTCCGTCGCCTTTTCCCTAGGTTCGTTGCCTAACCCTCTAGAAGGAAAGAAAGGCCCTGAACTGGTGGGCTTCGCCCGCATCGTGACGGATTACGCCACCATTGGGTATCTGGCGGACATCTACGTCCTCCCCACGCACCAAGGCAAGGGACTGGCGCCGTGGCTGATGCAGTGCTTGAACGAGATCTTGGACGAGTGGCCCGACTTGCGACGCTTTCTGCTTCTGACGTCCTCGCCGCAAGCGAGTAAGTTGTATGAGCAGGCCTTGGGGACAACGGAATGGGGCGTGTCACATTCAGGGAAGCTGTATCTGCTGGAGAAGCGCGGCCCTGCAATGCCCAACGGTCCGTCAGACGAGGAGGATGAGGATTGAGTGCGGACACCATGTTGGTATTGAAATGTTGTCGTAATCATCATGCCTTGATTGACGTCTTGCCGTATGCTCCGCCAGCGGCTTTTCTCAACTCAATTGCGCGCTTGTACGGGGGTGCCGTCGGTGGCTGGACGGGGTCCAAAGAGACGTGATCCTCGGGGAGTTGGTATGATGCGTCAGAGTCAAACGCCGACAGGTCACCACATGCGATGAAGGGTGCAATCCATCTAATGTGCTTATCATGATCCGTCGTCTCGTCCGTCTCGTCGTAGGCTTCCACCTCAACAACCTGGCCATCCTCCCTCGTCGCAGACGCCGTGGGAGCAGAGTCCCATTTCCCATTCAGAGGGTTCTGCATAAGCGCATCAGCAATGACAGGCAGCTGGCTCCTCCTCTCCTCGACCATCTTGGGAAGCTCGTGACCAACGCCAAGCGGGTTCTCAAGACTGGCCTGGAAACCAGCAGGGGGTTGGAAGTTGATGCAGACGATGAAGGCCTCCACACTGCTAGCACGAGAGGATCTCGGCTTCGCGACGATGACAGTCTCGAAGAAGATCTTGAGTTGCGCGTAGAGGAGGTCGACATTGCGGCCGCGGAAGATCTTGGCGACAAACTTCCCACCGGGCTTCAGTACGCAAAGAGCGAGGTTGAGGGCGGCGAAGAGAAGCTGGGACTGGACGTAGATATCCAGGTCGTGGAGGCCCGTGACGTCCGGTGCACCGTCGCTGATGACGAGGTCGACGCGATGGCTGGCTTGCTGGCTCTTGGAGTTGGCGGCGTCATAGTCGGGATCCAAGGCCTTGAGGAGAAGGGGTACCGTGGCGGGGTGCGTGATGTCGGCACGCAGAGTAATGATGCCGGGGAGAGGGCTGATGGGTTGCAGGTCGATAGACACGATCTTGACATCCTTGCGAGGTTGTGTCTCTTCGGTAGCAGTCGCGATCTGTGTCTTCTGCCCTGCGACAACAGATTCAGGGGTAGCCGGGAAGACGCCCAGCATCTCCTGGCGGAACTTGGCCTCACGATCCTCCCATGCTGAACGACCGAACTTCTCTCCCTTGATGAGAACACGAGACAGCACCTGAGACCAACTACCAGGGGCGGCGCACAGGTCAACAACTCTTGTTACGTTGGCGAACAGGTCAAACTCTGGACCGTCGTTTAGCATTTATAGTCAAAATGTCACGGGATGGCGGGGTAGAATGAGTCACCTTCATCCAATTGCAGCAGCTTGAAGGCACTGCGTGCACGCCAGCCTTGCTCCTTTGCAAGACGGTAGTAAGCATCGCGCTTATCCTTGGAAGATTTGCCCATCTTGAAGTGATAGCGAGAGACGGGAAGAGAACTATCGAGGGCTGATATGAGACGGAAATGGCGGGGGAGGGGAAAATTGCCAGCAATGTTTTTTTTGGAGGGGTCAACGCCCGCTATGGCCGCCAAAGAAAATTTGCTGCAGCGCTGTTCTCGTAGGGCTGAATTAAGGTGCGGTCTGTGCATTTCCTGGCGCCTAGGAGCTGGCTCTTCCGGCTGAAGTATTTTCCGGGCCCGCCAAAAGTTTCGAGCAGCGCAGCGGCGCCGGCGCTCAATTGCAGTGGACGATATGCGCATCGACTTTTTTTTTTTTTTTTTTTTTGGGTTAATGTGAAGATTACTCGCGGGGCATTTTCCCACACCTTCCTTTTGCACTCCTTGTATAGACAATACCAGGACCCTCAATATGCAATACAAGAGGAAGCAACAGCCTTCTGGGGCTGCCCAGAATCCCCAGAAGCGCCAAAAGTCTGCTGGCGGAAAGGCCGCGGCCCCGAAGAAGCGTAAGGTCGCCGTCAGTGCGCTGCCATGGAAAACGGTCGAGGTCCCCGAAATGTTCGACGATGCCGAGGGTTTCTACGGCTTGGAGGTTATCGAGGGCGTTGATGTCGTCAAACATGGGGATAACGTCGAGTTTGTATGTCTTCCAGCCTATGCTTCTCTTCCTCACCCTCTCGAATACAATGCATGACTGACTACAATCTAGATCGCTGCTGTTCCCTCTGGCGACGAGAAGGAGAACGACGAAGACGAGTTCGAAGGCTTCAGCGACTCTGAGCCTGCCCCTACACAAACCGATACAATAATGGAGGAGGCGGAGGCAGCACCAAAGGCAGAGACCAAGAAGTCCAAGAAGGAGAAGAAGGCTGCAGCCAAGGCAGAACAAAAGGCACAACAAAAGGCACAAAAGGTGGAAAACACGAAGGGGGACAAGCCTGCAGACAAAGCCGATGAGACAGACGCCGTTACACCCGCACCCGCAGCCGAACCCGAAGGCAAGAAGAAGAAGGAAAAGAAGCAAAAGAAAGCTCAGCCTAAGCCAGAGGACGCCAAGCTTGAAAGCAACGTTTTCAAGGCTCTCGAGGAAGCTGAAGAGGCCGAGGAGGATATCGACACGGCTCCCTGGGTGGACCTCGGTCTCTCCCCGGCGACTGTTGCGGCCATTGCCAAGCTCAAGTTCGCCAAGCCAACAAAGATCCAGAGCTCCTCGATACCCGAAATTCTCGCCGGTCACGACGTCATCGGCAAGGCCTCTACGGGTTCCGGTAAGACGCTTGCATTTTCGATTCCCATCGTGGAGGGATGGCTCGAGAAGTTTGAGGGAAAGGAGGACGAGAAGAAGCCGGATAATGCACCCTTTGCGCTCATTCTGTCGCCGACAAGAGAATTGGCACACCAAATCACCAACCACATCAAGAATCTTTGCGCCGGTCTGACCCACGCGCCCTTCGTTTGCTCGGTGACGGGAGGTCTGTCAGTCTTCAAACAGCAGAGACAACTAGCCAAGGCAGATATCGTTATTGGTACGCCAGGTCGTCTGTGGGAGGTCATCAGCTCCAGCACGGAGCTCCTGAAGGGGTTCCGGCAAATCAGGTACCTGGTTGTCGATGAGGCCGATAGGCTTCTGAGCGAGGGACACTTCAAGGAGGCGGGAGAGA